CATGGATGTGACGTATTAACTGGCTAAATGTATGTTTTTTTTTCTAATCAGCAGCATGCAGACCCACTCTTGTGTTGCAGATATGTTTTTACATTTTGTACATAAAATAAATAACGGCTATTTTGCATTTTTTTTGCCATTTTGTTAAAAAAAGTAAAGAAAACATTAATATTATCTGGTCATTTTGTCGTAGACGTTACCCTTCTTATTTAGAATGTTTTTCGATAAACTACTGACTCTAATTATTGTGTAGTACTTCCATTTGTAGATTTGAGCAGTGGTAGAATCACTTTGGGAGTTTGTCAAATACTGACATTATGACTCTTTCCCTTGTTCTCAGTTTCCTGGTTAGCTTTATGGTGGATGCCCGTGGAGGTGCCATGAGAGGTTGCAGGCACAATGGACTGAGAATAATAATTCCCCCCCGGAAATGCACTGCTCCCACAAGAGTGACCTGCCGTTTGGTGAAGCGCCATCGACTGGCTACTATGCCACCTATGGTAGAAGGAGAAGGTCTTGCTAGTCGACTCATTGAAGTTGGCCCTTCTGGAGCTCAGTTCCTTGGGTAGGTTCTGATGCTAACTATTCATAACTTATTTGATTTTACATGTCATGAAAATATGCACTACTGTACACTTTCAAAATCTGTTTACTTTTATAATAGGTAACATTGATGATTATTTGAGTGTGTTGTACTGAAAAACCTTAGTAGCATTGCAATTAGATGTGCATTTTCCTGTCTATATGGATCTCTCTAATTTGCTAAGAAGTAGAGATCAGGGGGCGTTAATGCTTTGTAAATAAGGTGTGCAGAAGTTCCTATTGTGTGCACAATATCCCTAGGACATGTACAATTATGTCAGTGATGAACCATTGGAGACCTGAGGCAAAAGTAAGCTATTTAAAAAAATTAGACCAACAGACACAGTTATTCATCTAGCTATAAATGACAATATTCATTACACAGCTTAACAGTCTTTCCCCCAACAATGAGCACTTAATGTTTGTATTAGACCAAAGAAGGCAGACAACCTGTGCACCTGCCTCATCTAATAGTTACGTGGTTATATCCCATTGGCTACTACCTCGAGATTATCGAAGGGTGTCTGTCCACATTTGAAAATACCCATAGACATAGAGGGGAGTTTTCAAAGACTGGAGCAGACAGAATCTGGAGCAGCTGTGCATGGCAACCAATCAGCTCCTAACTTTCATTTTCAATGCTAAACCAAACAAACTAAAGAGAGAAGCTGATTGCTTTCTATGCACAGCCGCACCAAATTGTGCCTTCTCCAGTCTTAGGAAATTCCTGCCATAATGTTCAGTCTGATAAGATGATAGTCATTTAGTGTCTTTGACCACCTTTAGTAAATGTCATATCTAGAGGAGGAGAATGGTAGAAGAGTAACACAGCGGTAAGTAATTTTTAGGCACAACCTTATGTTAACATCTGTTATGGTAACATCTGCTCAGTGGATTTCTCTTTTAATACTCCAGTCAATATGCAGTACGTTAAAAAGGTATCTGAAAAAAGAGACTGTGTTACTGTAAAAAAAACATTCTAACAGGTAAAGCTCTGACTTTTGAGTAGTGTCGGTCAAGGCAACCCATGATAGTGATGGGATTACAGGAATGTGTGTGGGAGGTCTGCTACCTTCCACACACATTCCCATTGTCTCTTCACTATCATGGGATGCCTTGCCAGCCAATAGGGATGTGCAGGAGACTGGAAGAGGTAGGCAAGTATTTGCAGACACCTTCAGGTGCCAACACTTTATGCAGTAGGAAAGCAGGAAGTTGCACACTGATGTCAGATCACATCCAACGTCATTAAACCTGGAGATAGCACTTTAGCCTTGTATAGGGCCGCTCCTCTTTAATGTTTCACCCAATATGGGCTTGATCAGACACATGTCCTCAGCGTGGGCGTGGCTAAGCGGCGTCGCGTGAGTGGGTTTACCGGTGTGGGCGTGGCGCAAACAGCTTCTTCTCTCAAGGAAAGGGGAGGGCCCTTTTCAATAATAAGAGGTTTCCTTGAGAGATTCTGACTAAATTGAAAAGTGCTCACTATTAAAATAAGATGATGTCATTACATCCAGATCACTACAGTTACATTTCTAGTATAGTCCACTCCTGACTTACTTTTAGAAAGTGGGAGCTCACGGCGAGGAGGAGACCAGCGGCGGGCGTGGCTTATGCAGCGACTGAGGAGACCAGCGGCGGGCGTGACTTATGCGGTGGGTGAGGGAGCTCGCGGCGGGTGAGAGAGCTCACGGCTAGGAGGAGACCAGCGGCGTGCGCGGCTTCAGCCTGTTCGGTGGGCGTGGCTTATGTGGCGGCGGCGGCCTGTGCGGTGGGCACGTCGGGAGCAGCGTGTGACGCGTGACGTGCGACTCAGGCCGCGCCCCGAACAGGCTAAGCAATCGATAGCCGACGAATCAACGATCGAAATCGTTGTCAACGTTTTCAATCGTCGATTTTAATCGACTTAATCGATTAACTGTTGCAGCTCTAGTTGGTACAAGGTGGGGCTGCAGTGTGCCATCTCTGGTTTTGATAAAGTTGGATAGAGTGAGGCTTGGCTCACTTTGTCTCCAAGATCCAATGGGATTTTCAAATTGGCTTGGAACAGCGACATCTCTCTACATGCCAAAACTTTAAACCTGCAGTATTTTTCTACTGCTGACAGGGTTTCTTTAAATTCTAAATGTTTTGAAAGCTTAGTGTCTGAGTTACATTATGCACTGAAATTAATAATGGCTTAGTTATTGACTAGTAAATTGTACTTGCAGGGAAATAATGTCTACAATTTGGCTTATTTTTGCTGTGTTTATTTAATTGCATTACTCTGATGTGAAAAGAGATGATAGGTAAGCGATAATAACTGTTTGAAGAATACTGTATACTTAATACTGCACATACACACTGTGATAATTTGCAGTGATGTTAAAGTTTTCCCAACACTGTAGCTGGAAAGTTATGCCTTTGGCTTAACTTTTGACTGCACAAATGATTTTCTCTGCTGAAGAAAATCATTTTTGTTGATTTGTAGAGGGAAAAACAAGAAAATATATAAAACAATTTTACTTTATCATATAGGTGGACACTTGCACCAAATGCAGCATCAGTACTTGTATAGCAAACTTAGCAAGCATTGGCCATTTGCTCTAAAGTTAATCACCAGGTTTACAATTCATAAGGACATTTTAACACTTTAACTTTTAACTTATCATTCTATCATTTTATCATTTTAACTTATTTTGCCAAATTACTGAGGGTTCTTTGTTTTGCTCTTTATGTTTAGTCACACACATTTTTTTATGATATGGCATATCAAATAATATGGAGGATTTAAAAACTAATAACTATCACACCTTTGCATGACAGAGTGCAACAAATGGAAATCATTTTACCTGCCTGACCAACAAATAACAAACTCTGTCATCTGGCACTTAACTTTGAATGCCTCCATCTTCCCATGTTTCCATCTTTGCCTTCTATGAATGTTGAAGTGTACACTATAGGAGTAAATGAGTGAATAGTCATCTCAAGGAGCATTTTTTTAAATTACATTTGGGGGAAGCATCTTCTACCCATTATACCATTGAGGACAGCTGCCCAGTACTTCCTGGTTCTTCTCTTTGGAGTGCATTGTTGTGCATATATTCCTCTGAAGAATACACACCAGAGGAGAAAATAAGGAGTGGGCGATGCTGTGGCCAATAGCTATGTTTAAAATGTGTTGTGCCCTGTTGTTGAACCCTGCCAAACTACACCCAAAGCTAAAACAAGCCATTGAATGGAGTCCAGCTTTAACTTTAAGTTGATATAAAATATACATTGTTAACAAATACTGTCTACTGTGTATGTACAAATACCTTTTCCTTGATTATTTTTATCATAATTGTTAGTGTAAAACAGATTGGAATAAATGATCCCACAGACCTGCTAAGGTAGTGGGATAGAATACTACAATGTGTTCCTTTTTCACTTGTAGCTGGCATGTAACACACATCTTTCTACTCCCAAACTGTGGCATATCACCTCTAACACAAGCTGAAATTACTCTTACCTATGTTCTTTTTCCCTCTGCTGCTTTGGATGTACTCAGTAAACTCCACCTTCCTACGGCTCCTCCCCCTCTAAATGAGGGAGAAAGCTTGGTCAGCCGAATCCTTCAACTGGGACCTCCTGGGACCAAATTCCTTGGGTAGGAGAGACTTTAGATCAAGTTGATGGATGCTGGCCCCCCATTTGTCCCTTTTGTTCTCCAACATAATTTATTTATTTCTGTCAGTGATTTTTCCCATGATCTGTGTGATTTTTTTTTTTTGTGTCCCGACGAGGTATTTTAATCCCTGTGACTGTTTTTGTTTTAGTGTAGTAGTATGTGTGCTTCCTTCTTTTGACTATTATTGTGAAGTGGTGTTACTTTTTGCTTGAGCATGTGATTGATTTTTTTTTTAAACTAGTGATTGACTTTCAATCTGTGTCTGAGAATCCTGGATCACAAACTTAGACAACATGTTCATTGTAAGTGACTGTAAGTCCAACTGTGACCTGACGCTGAAAGTTTTTTAAATGCATGACACATCCCAAAGTTGCTACACTTTCTGCGTTATATTAAATTGTAACTTCCAATACATAACATTTGTCACAATACAGTAATGCTGCAGTGATAAGATGTCTATAATTTTCTGATGCAATGAATCTGTTGACTTCATCATTGTTTGTGTGTGCGCTTGCAAATTAGGTTCTCTGGGTTCCTTTTCTCCTGCAGTAAACCATTTGCTTTGTTAATTACCAAATATAATGTATCTTGTTAATCAGGCCTGTTATTGTGGAGATCCCCCATTTTGCGGCTTTGCGTGGAAATGAGCGTGAACTAGTCATACTGCGCAGCGAGACTGGGGATAATTGGAAAGAACATTTCTGTGAATTTACTGAAGATGAACTCAATGAGATCCTTAATGGAATGGATGAAGGTATTAATATTATTATTTATCTATATATTGAACACATAATACATGTTATTACTTGTCCAGAGCTTTAAATTGTATCTATTGGGTGTACAGCTGCCTGCAAATGCCTGTACATTAATCATTGTGATAGATGTGATAATTATAGACATCAGGGGAGGGAGGAAGGGACTTTTATAGTTTCTTATGTCTGTGATGACATCAAATAGAGGATCAATATGTTCATATGTGCTTTGGGCAGAATGTGTGAATAGCCCCACTGCTAGTCTCCTTAATAGCGATCAGATAAAAAAATCCAGCTCAAATACTCAGATATTACCCTAAGAAGAGTTAGCTAGCGTGTCGCACGGTGTCACATGATTTCCATAGTTATCAGATCTTTGCCTGATTTAAGACAGATCTAGTGTCTAGTGTCAGTCATTATTTGTTTCTGAGCATATTACGTAAGAATACATTTGTTTAATATCTATCTGAATGTGAAATAGGTGGTGGAAAATATGTGATTTTATGATTACTTCTCACTCAGTGTACGTGGTCCTTAAACTGTACCTCTGTCATCTCTTCATAGTTCTTGATTCTCCAGAGGAACTGGAAAAAAAGCGCATTTGCCGCATTATCACCCGGGACTTTCCACAATATTTTGCAGTGGTTTCTCGTGTTAAACAGGACAACAACCTTATTGGACCCGAAGGAGGAATTCTAAGCAGCACTGTGGTACCTCAGGTCCAGGCTGTTTTTCCAGAGGGTGCCCTAACTAAGAGAATCCGTGTTGGCCTTCAGGTATGGAAATCAAGAGGCATTACACTATATATATATATCAAATACTGGCTGTTGGCTGTTTGGGATGATGTTGTTTCATAGCAGAGCGATTTTTTTATTGCCCTTTGATAGTTATGGAGACATTCAAAAGCTTTGAATGCTTATTACTAGCTTTTAACACTTTCTAAAACATTTTCCTGCTTTTAAGGCCCAGCCAGTGCATCTTGAACTTGTGAGGAAAATATTAGGCAACAAAGCATCATTCAGTCCCATTGTGACATTAGAACCGAGAAGAAGAAAATTCCACAAACCTATAACAATGACTATCCCTGTGCCCAAAGCTTCCAGCGAGGCGATGCTGAATGGATATGGTGGTGACACACCTACATTAAGACTACTATGCAGTATCACTGGTAAGTTTAGATAACATAGCACCACTGTAATACGTCATGACTAGTCGGCCTGGAAAAAATCTCACAGACCATATTTTAGGACATGAGAGACTTAGCAGGGTGGCAGACTGCTTCTTTTTCACTTTCATTGCACATTTGATTTCCCTGTAAGCAAGGAAATACATTAAAAAAAAAACCCTTTAACTTTTATGTGCAGAACACTTATTTGGTAAAACATTTAATGAAATTACTTAATGATTTGTTGTCCTGTGAAAGAAAACTAAGGGCTTTACGTAAGTGAACTCTTGTTTTGCCAGTTACAGAGTGTTAACTCTCTTTAGTGCATTAACAAACATCATACCAGAGTGCTACATATCTTGTTACTTAGGGACTTATTTATAACACGTGCGTCCAGCATATAGCTGTGCGAACAACATTCACAGGACATTACTGCCACTAGATGTAGCCAAGGAGCATAGAAATGTCCTATGCTCCTCAGCTCCATCTGGTGGCAGTAATGCACTACAGACGTCATTCACACAGCTATATGCTGGGCAAATGCATTAAAAATAAACCACTTTGTGTTTCCCATCTTTTGATGAGTCACATACCATTATTACAAATGTCACCGTCCCAGTGCCATCTATGTTGTTAAAAGTTACTCTATATACTTACACAGACGATTGGTAGAGCTCAGCCTGGTAAAATCACTGTGCTGCCGTTTGGCAGCTGCCAATTGACTGAACAGTTTTGTCACAGTAATGTGTCCCATTCTTTGGGAAACTTTACTTTAATTGGTTCATATTATAATCAGAAGGAGGAGAAAATACATTATCCATTATAATCATTAAGATAACAGTCTGAGTTGTATTCCTTTGGCATTGTTTGTACATAACACACACTTATGCAATGTGAAATTGAGTAGCTGATTTTATGTATAGTCTTTCTTGCATTATTATGTAATGTATGCTATTATAGGATTAGAAAACTGTAAGTATTGCCTATAGCAACTAGTCACTTTTGTCATTGCTGTAATTGGATTGGTAACCCATTCCCTTCCTCCAGCTTTGCAAAAATTATGCCCAGTATTCTGAAAAAAGTGTTTGCGTATAAACATAATATACCTTTTTGCTTTGCTATAGGTGGTACAACTCCAGCACAGTGGGAGGACATCACTGGAACCACACCGCTTACATTCGTTAATGAATGTGTCTCTTTTACTACTAATGTATCTGCCAGGTCAGTTTTTGGTTCACAAATTGTTTTGTAAAAAGAACAGAAAATATTCTGATAATACATCATGTGTGTGTTCGCCGTAACAATACATCATGTGCGTGGTCACCATTACAATACATCATGTGTGTGGTCACCGTTACAAATGAGGTATTGTAGCCTACTGTGTGAATACCTTACATAAATACACAAAACGTTCTTCAGCATTGTGTACCGCTCTTACCATATTTAATACTGTTTGTGCTTTTTTTCTGTAGGTTTTGGTTAATTGATTGCCGACAAATCCAAGAATCAGTTACATTTGCTAGCCAAGTTTACAGAGAAATTATATGCGTTCCCTATATGGCCAAGTTTGTTATATTTGCCAAATCCCATGACCCCATTGAAGCACGTCTGAGATGTTTTTGTATGACAGATGACAAGGTGGACAAGACACTGGAACAGCAGGAAAACTTTGCCGAAGTTGCTAGGAGTAGAGACGTAGAGGTGAGCCTGTGGAAAACACTGAACATGTTGATGCATGTAACATGTTAAAGCACATCAATTACAATACCCATATCAACACTAGAAGTGTAATTGAACCCTTTTAAACTTGCTCCAGTGATGACTGTTCACCAATCTCTTTTTTTTTTCTTTATTTAATGAATCCCATCCCGAGGGGTACCAACCTGGTTGTACAAATGTAGACAGAAGACCAGCCTATATGCAGTTTCACTGCTGTACTGATATTAGTTTGTATGCTGGTGTAGCATGGGTTGATTTTGTTTATTTTAGAAGAAGGGGCTTACAATAGACTGGTAATATGATATTAAGAAAGGGGACAGTAAATGTGGCTGAAAAATAATAATCTCTGAGTTAGTTTGCAGTCACTGTTCAAGCTTGCTAAAAGTGTCCCCACACTAAAAAGCTTGTCATACAACAGAACTATTTATGTGTAAAGGGTATAGGCCGGGTATAGTGTATCACAGTAGAGAACCTCAGGAGTACATTAACCAGTTGACATCCGCGGTGTTAAACCCCCTTCCCATCCAGGCCATTTTTCAGTATTCAGCGCTGCGGTACTTTAACTGACATTTATTCCGTCATGCAGCGCTGTACTGAAATTAATTTTATACCCTTTTTTGGGGACAGATAGAGCTTTCTTTTGGTGGTATTTATTCACCACTGGGGGTTTTATTTTTTTACTATATTAAGGAAAAATTACCGAAATGTAAAAAAAAAAAACAGTTTCCCCTATATTAAATGATAAAACATTTATTATTACCCAATTTTTTGGTAAAATATAAAAGATGGGGTCACGTCGGGTAAAAAGACACTAAACATGTCAAGCCTTAAAATTGCGTGCGCGCGCGAAACCTCAAAAAACGATAATACCCAAAATTGGCCCTAGGCGACGCTTTAAAAGCTGTTACCGCTCATCAGTTTAGTGTTATCAGTGATTGATGGCCCTAAAATGATTGCTCTCACTGCGACGTTCGCGGCGATATGTAACATGTGTAGCGCAATTGTAATTTTTGCGCGCTGGGGCACCGGACGCGTATTTACGTTTATAGGCGCGTAAACGTGGGGGTGGGGGAGTTAAACATTTTGGGGGGGGTTTTTCCCCTTTTTTTATATGTGACTTTTATTTTATTTTACTTTTTTATGTGTTACTTTTATTTTTTTTTATTTATATTTATTTTTTTTGCACTTATTGGTATTGCTATTATATAGGGGGATAACAACCCTGGGGGGGGGGGTGCCGCGAACGAGCACATATAGGCGATCGGCGGGCTATGGACCCGCCGATCGCCTATATGTGAAACACCCGGTAACGGGTGTGTGCATTTAGCGGGTCTTTTCTGCCCGTGCGTGCCCGCTAGGGGGCGCGCGCGAGCAGAAAAAAATTGCCGTCTGGAGACGGCAACCCGCAGATGCTGCAGTGCCGTCCGTCCGTTTTTTTACTACGGGCGGACGGCAAGAGGTTAAGGATGACAGAATTATGACTGAATCCCTATTAGTCTTTATTGACCTGTCAGAAATAAGTTGTCTTAGTGTATTAATGGAGAAATAAGGAGGGTGCAATAGTGGGTCTATGTATTATTGTTCTTGAATACCACACCATCAGATCTTTCCATTGGAATATTTCTGCCAATTACAGTTAAGTGATCAAATCTGACCATAACTGCCAATTAGAATATACTTTTCAGAAGTGGATATGTACTCATCTATGTGCTTTCTTAGGTGCCAACAAAAAGGGATGGATAGGATTTGGAATCAGAAATTGCGCTTGATGGACAGCAGACTTAGTATGATAATACTGCTTAATACAGTTGTAGACATATGTGCACATACAGCTGAACAGTAGTAGAGGTTGTAGCTCATAAGGAGATACAATGTACTATTTAATTGTTAACACCAAATGAAGGATACATTGGTGGTATTCCATAAAATATTAAGCATATGGACTGAATTTAAATTGTTATCATTTGATATATTTTTTTATACAGCCTTGGTCCTTGACCAATGAGTATTGCTTAGTGTAAGGTTAAGGTTATATAAAGAATGCTAACGTGCTACTGATAGTACATAGCATTTTGAGCTCCTGGGATGCTCAGTAGGAAAGCAGGTATCTATGGTGTTTTTGTTCATCTTTGATATGACTTCATGTACATTTAATGGCAGTGTAGTTTCTCGCACATCTGGCTGTACTATCTGGCATGGCTCTGTAGACCACAAGACTGGATGAACAGATTTGAAATCCCTTGGCAAATAAACCAATTCAAATATGCATATTTCTTTTTAACTCTCTTTGTTACTGTTTGCTTAGGGATTATCATTAGATTAATAAAAAAAGAAAAATATCACAATAAAAAGCTTTTACTTTAAAGAATAAATATTTTACATCACCCAGTCCCTAACTTTATTCACCTTCTTAATAACCTAGAGCTTTACTGTATAGAGTGTTTTGCCATTTTCTCTTATATGGTTTCATACTGCTTTTTCTATATTTATGACCAAGGAGAAGGTCTCATGGGGTAGTACAGGAAGTCAGTACTTTCCAAACTTCAGACTCAAGCAATTGGCGCCCAACACCTTACAAAGCAAGTCCTCATATGTAACTGACTATATTTACAGTTAAATCAAGTTTACTTTTATCAACAAAAAGTACAAACAATACACAGAATGCATACATCAAGGGTTCGCTGAAGGCAACAGAGTGCAAATCCAGAATATTTATGGATCATGACAAACATACTGTAGTAAACCATCATGGAAGAGTGGAAGGAAAACAGGTCAAAATATATAACCAATACTGCAATGCATGAAGCTCATAAAGAAAAGTAGAATCCACTCAAAGACTAACCAAGTAAATTGCCCTTTTCTCATCAATGGGATTTATCAATAGGTATCATTCGTGAAAGAGAAAAAAGAGAGACAACAAAACAGGACAATAGAGACGAAAAAAGGGAGATTAGAAGGAAATAGGATGACCTAAAAGGGACAAAAAAATCCAAAACAAGAGGGTGGGAGTTCATAAAAAGTTACCTAGAACGTCTGAAGTCAAAAAGTGTAGCCATAGGTTTCATACGGCCGAGAAACAATCAAAAGTGTCAGTGTCTGAGGCAAGAAGTTCTTCCATCCGCATAATATCATTGATATGGCTTACCCAGAGGAGTAATGGCCCTCTTCCAAAAAATTGGGATAATCTGGCAGGCAGCAGCTATAAGGTGGCGCAATAAAAGCGTTATTGACTCTTCTGGGGCCCGGTAAAAGAGACAGAAGGGCGACTCAGGAGATGGCTCAAGCGTGTCTCTATATAGGTGATTATAAACTTCAAAAATGTTTTGCCAATAAGGGGAGATTAGAGGGCATTGCCACCAAATATGTAAGTGCCTCTAGACGCTTTACATCTCCAACACGTATAAGGAGAGTTCGGGAAGATACGGTGGAGAGAGACTGAATCTATATACCATCTAATTAGGATCTTTACATTTTTCTCCTGGGCATAACTGGAGATAGAGGACTTATGTGTAAAATGAAAAATGGTATCCCAGTCATCCTCTGTTAGGTCTCTGGCTAGGTCCGTAGGCCACATAGCCATAAACGTAGGTGAGTATGTAGTCTAGCCTGTAACATCCCATACATCAGTGACAACACATGGCGTGGAGGTTCTGAGAGGGTAAACACACGTTGAAATGGAGTCAAAGCTCTGTGAATCTGTCCGGAACCATGAAGATTCCTAGAGAAATGGGATAGCTAAAGATCTAATAGCCAGTGATAATTTGTATTTACCAGGGAGCTGTTGGAAGCAACAAATCGTCCAGTAGAAGAATGTATAAAATTCCTAGCTTGAGGCCAATCTTTCTGACCATAACCCCCTATAGAAGAAATGGCAATACACATAGGCAGGGACGGGTTATCAGATAAAGAAGTCATATGACTAGGCAAAGTGCAAAGCCCATGGGCGTCACGTAAGGAGTGCCAGACTCGTAATGTAGCCGATGTGAGGGGAGAAGGTTGGAAAGGTGCCTTTACAGTGGGGGACAAAGACCAAGGAAGCACCCTGAGATCAATTGGACAAAGATATTGTTCCACCAAAGTAGATGCCTTTAATAAAGGACAAGGGAACCATTCAAACATACGTGCAAGTACCATGGCGTTATGGTATGTCTTAAAATCGGGCATGCCCATACCACCTCTAGAATTATGCCTACAGAGAGACTTATACCGAAGATGAGAATAGCTATTATGCCATATAAATTTAATAGCAAGGGAAGGTAAAGTACACAAGAAATGCCTAGGAGGAATAAAAGGGATAGTTTGGAGAATGTATAGCAATTTAGGAAGAATTTCCATTTGAGTATATTGATTTTCCCAAACCAAGAGATGTTATAAGAACTATAGGATTCTAGATCTTTTCAAATGGTACAGAGTAGAGGAAAATAATTTAGGGAAAAAAGGTCTGACAAATTGGAAGAGATGGCAGTCCCTAAATACATAAGGGACTTTTTAGTTCAAGTTCAATTAGAAGGGAAAGTTCTGTTTTAATGAGGTGAGGGTGGAGGGCGACAAATATAGGTCTATTGCTGTAGATTTAGACATATTAACTTTGAAATTGCTATGCATGCCAAACTGTTTAAATTCTGAAAGCAACGCAGCAACACATAGGGGTGTTAAATATATAGAAGTAAGTCGTCAGCGTACAGTGACAATATAACTGACTATATTTATTTATATAGCTTAGTTGTTGTGACATGCATATAACAGAGACGCAATGTAACATAAACACATCTTCTTTATTTGAAACCAATATTGTGTAAGCAGGAGTTCACCCTTAATAAGAAAATGTGTATTCAGTTTTATAAATTGAACCTATAGCATTCTGCAGCCAATGATGTTGTGTTTTCTTTTTCAGGTCCTGGAAGGAAAACCAATCTATGTAGACTGCTTTGGAAACTTAGTACCTTTAATAAAGAGTGGCCAACACCATATATTTAGTTTCTATGCCTTTAAAGAGAACAGACTTCCATTATTTGTCAAGGTAATGATAATAAGTTGTTGAAAGAACAATTGCATTAGTAACACTAAATGCATTTCATTTGATTAGGGACAATGTGTATGTACTTGACCACAGAAATGTTGCCTTTAAGCCAACTTTACCATTAAAAACTGGATGGGCAATGCTGTATATGCTGTTAAGCTTAACCTGCTGAGACAATAGAATAAGCAATGTTATCCCCTTATATCAGGTACGAGACACAACTCAAGAGCCTTGTGGACGCCTGTCTTTCATGAAAGAACCAAAATCTAATAGGGGCCTTGTGCAGCAAGCCATCTGCAATCTAAATATCACATTACCAGTTTATTGTAAGGTAAGTGTTTTGTTCACCGTGTTTTACATCAGTAAAAATAGAATAGTAGACATAAAAATCTACCCCTTAACATTTTATTACAATATACTATCTATATTTTTCTGTCTGGTGCTGTGCGGGTTGGGTTTCAAAATATACATTTACATCTGCACCAAGTAGAATAATTAGCCCATGCATGCATTACATATACTGATATATTTCTTTAGAGTGTTTACATTTTTAGGTTATCTTATCCCTACATAAATGCCTTATATGCTTAAGTTCTTACAATGTTCTAAATTTTTTACAGTTGTCAGTGGGTAGGCATTAATTCAAGAAACCCCTTGCAACTTTTGTGAATGCACAACTCCCTATCTGAAGTTGTTGTGAGCTGTGCTATGCTTGACTGGCAGTTGAAGTCAGTTTAGGTGATTGCTGCTGCCATTCTGGCCGGTACTTATAGGGTAATTGTGTGTGGAATATTTGATAACTTGAGCAACAACAGTATGATGTAACAAACTGAGGAAGCATGAAAAATAGAAGGAAGTATTAAAGTGAAGAAAACAAACAAATATTTGATGTTATATTTGTAGACTTGTGCTTTAGTCTAAAGGAAAAGGTCTTCAGAATATCCAGCACAATTACTTTCCTTTTAGAGGCTGCTGTAAGCTGCATTGTCAAGTAGATTAGTATGTTCTGCAGCATTACTATTAATATTGTGTAGGCACAATCACCCATTGGAGCCAGCAAAATCTGCAAAAGAGTGGGCAACTGTAAGGAGACAGCGATGTGAAAGTTTAACTAAGTGATGAAGAAAATAATTAAAAATAAGAAAATGTTTAATGGATAATAAATGTCACATAATTAAAAGCTATGAGCGTGAGTTTTAGTTTGAAGCAAAACTCTAGACAGATAAACTAGAGGAGAAACTAGAGTGACAGAGAGATGAGCTCATCACTGTCCGGTTCTCCTTTACCTGTCCAGTCACAGGCTAGGGCAGATCCAGACAGTCTACGTTCATAGGAAGTGAGTTGAATGATGCTGGCCATGAGACTGAGGGCTTTTAGTAGCAGAAAAAAGTACTGCAAGGGATAACTCTGGAGTGAATATTGCAAACAATGCTCTTTATTTTATCTTTTAATAGGCTGTTAATGTTTATCTTGTTGTATTTTGCTGGAGTTCTCCTTTATTGTGATTTAGACTTAATTGTTTTTTCTCTCTTTTTACCCCTCTGTCTACCTGGCATCTTGTATTATAAAGGAATGTGAGTCAGATCAAGAAGATGAGGTAATATCGGTTGTTCTGGATATTAAAAGATGCTGTTTTTGTATTGTTCCTTGAGTTATTTTTAAAACAACTATTCGTATAGGTCAGTCTACCCGGAACTGATATTTACATTTTTGACAGATTCTAGACAATTAAACCACCTAAATCTGTTAAGGACTCTGTTTTTTTTTTAGATATGTGTTCTTGATGCCCTTTTTCTGTACAGCTGATGTTGCCATTATGGGGGCCCTAAGTATCCCCAGTTTGATAGTTAATTATATGTGTATTATGGAGAATGCAACAGAAGGTGCTGGAACACACAAAGGTTCGTGTTGACAATCAAAACTGCCAGGTGGATAGGAACAGAGTTGGAAACAATGGTAGGCAGTTGTCATTGCTGGATGATCCAAGATGTATAGGACACCAGGTACTGACTCAGTCCACCGGACACCATTTATAACTAAAATATCACTCTTAGGTAGACTAATCATTTTACAAAATCTGTAGTTAATTTTAATATTAGAATTTTCAGTTGATCTGATTGTCATCAACAGAACTTTGATATGTGATTGTTCACTTTTGCTTTTAACTTTGTTTTTTATATGAAAATATCTCACTGATCCTGCATGTAAGTGTCTAATTGGATTTTTGAAATTGCTAAAATTATTTGATTCCATTCCCTTCCTAAGTATAGTAATGGAGTGGGGTTCATCATATCTCATATTTAGAGGTATATGCACAGCATCCTAAGTGATTGGATCCTTTGCACTATTTAGTTGTTTTCTATAACCTTACAGATAAACATTTCTAATAAAGCCAATGTGTCACCACTCTGTAGTGGCAGAAGGATCCTAGAACCATTAAAAACATCCATCGCAAAGGCAAAAGTAGCATGGAGCTTCCTCCATTCACACCTGGAAAAAGATGGGGAATGGTGAATCTTAGATCATTTTGGAAATTTCCTGTGATTATATTCACATTATTCACAAACTGCTATTCAATAAAGGAAAAACTTTGTGATGTTTTACATATCTGTGAATTATTTTAAGGAAATACCAAGGCTGCTATTGCTGACCATGTTCTGTAAATGCTGCCTGCCTATAATGCTAATCATTTGTTCGAATGTCAGTTACTCAGCAAGCATTGATGCTATTAGATTGGAGATTGAGAGTGGGGTAACCAGCATTTCAAAGGAGAGGTCAGTAATGGCAGCCTCCATATAGCTGTCATTATAAAATGGCAGTGTTCTATTTCATATTTAAAGTATATGTGGACCCATTAGTTTCCAAATAATCAGAGTGTTGTGCAGATAAGTTTTATTAAAAAAATAATAATTCCATTGTGAAAAAAGCTTTTAAATACATTAGAACATGGTCATGTGAACACTTTAACTCTTTCTTAAGCTGTGCATACCAGGACTGTGGGGAGTGTTGAAGCTGCAGTGCCCAGTCACTGTGGTGACTTCACTGTTGGCTCCAGGACAATGGGCCACTGGTTAGGCAAACACTTCAGGACAGACCTGAAGGCATAGCTGTTGCTGTGCGTTGGCACAGTGTCCTGCAGTTCCAATGCAGGAGTGAACAGGAGTTTGACAACGTTACCACAGCATTAGGGGGATTGTGGTTAGCATTGCCACTTATTCACATGAATGAGTAGAGACAGGCAGGATCAACAGGTGTTAGCTCTTCTCGAACAATCACAATAAGAAACTTGGTATAGTATGTTTAACATGGTATATTTTAAAGTGAGAAAAGAGTCATGTGTGTGTGGATGACTTCACTGTGATGCTTATGAACAGTGTTTCCCATAGAGTGATACCTGTACCCCTGTCGGTGCACAACCTAAATCTAGGTGGTATACAATAGGTTAGGGCTATTAAAGGTAGGACTGTGATAAACCCATAGGAAAATGTGCTTATTCAACTGACCAGTAGTGATGGGCGACTGTGATTGGGTTTGATTCGCAGACACATTCTGTGAGCATGGCCTAAAATCTGCAAATTTTAAACTTAGATGCGAATCCCTAAAAAAGAAATGGGATCCCACCTGAATTCCATGCCAGACCCTAATCCTTGATGAAGGTCTGGAATCCTTGATGAAGGTCTGGTATAGTTTTTTTAGAGGGATTCCACACAAAACATTAAACAAAAAAGGATCTGCGCAAGGGAACTATAGAGAATATAGAGGGTCTTTTTAAAATAAGAAAAAAAATATTGTATGGCAAATAAATACACACACAATGTCCTTTCTTAAAAAAAAAAAGTCCACAATGTAAAAAAATGATGTTCATATTGTCCAGCAAATATTGTTATGTGATGTAAATGTCACACGATGATGCTCTCCCACCAATACTTTCTCAAAAAAAAATGGCTGGGGTGCTGACTGACATAATTTACCAGATTTGGTAAATTACATCACCGGGAATGCCCATCACATTGCTTAAAATTTGAAACAAGCTGGCATGCAGCGGGATTGTTGGTTGCTAAGACACTGGCAGCCACAGCACAGCAGGAAATTGTAATGAAGTGGAGGCAGTAATACTGCCACTAAACTAATGGCAACTAATTTGAGGCAAACCTTGCATCCCCTCAAACCTCATTCTTACTGGCTAGTATAAATTGAAGGGAAGTAAAACAATTGCCTTGAAGTTTTCATGGGCTACAGTACTCCATTTTCTACAGAGAAATGTCTTGCTTAGGCCTATAAAAGTTTACTTTTAGGGCAGGTAGCCATGGCAGTGTAGTAGATGCATACAAGAGATCCAGAGGTATTGGTAGAGAATGTGCAAAGATTTAAGTGGAAGTATAAGAATGGCACAGCTGAAACATGCTGGTGCATTGTAGAAAATTGGTGGTCATTTGTTAATTATCAATAGCACTTAGCAAACTTAGCAAATCACAGTAGTACAGCACTTATGGGGAACAGCCCTGTACCCTGTAGATTCATTCTTGTACACTGGCAATTTATAATTATGTGTATTATTATTATTATTAGCATTATTTTGTATTACTATTATTATGCTATTATTATTTATTCCTTTATAATCATTTTGAATAATCACCACTTTTCCTTTATTTTAGGGAAATCTCAACTCTGAGAAAAGTAAGTTATATATTTTATATTGCTATAAACAATTTTAGTTTTGACTGATTCTCTGAAACTAAAGCATGCAGTATTCAAGCAGGCTAATTTTCACTAAACTAATACTAATGCTGCTTTGATGAAGATGGCACACATAATATACTAGCACTGTACCAGTAACGTTATGCAGGGATATAAGCTATAACATTACTGTTTAAACTGCTAAAACCCTTTTTCCTGTTACTGACTTATCCTCTTACCTTCCCTGTTATTCCTGCTTCAACACCATTCCATTTTATGTTCTGCAGTGCATCCGTTGACATGACATTATCATATCATTAACCAGCTAAATGACTGTATCAGTTTGTCTGGCATCACCTGCTGTCCACAGAAAAGCTTTTCAGCTGGCTTTACCTCTAACCCTAATTAAATGGACTTTGTGATGCTTAGTCAAAACAGATACTGTCGGCTTGTATTAGATGACAGTCAACATTACTGTGGTGAAGTTCAGTGGCAAGGCCAGGCAACAAGTAGAATCAGTCACCACTAATGATACCCAGAAAATACTTTACCTGTGCTAAAAGATCTACTCAGTTTACCTTAAATTAGAATGTAATATAACCTATATGTCTGGGAGGGAATGCATCCTATCTCCATGAGGACTGCCAAGGACAATGCTTAGAACACTAGAACTCCCTGGCATGCATTTCCCAGATTCAGTATCTGGGTCTGAGTCACCCACTGGCTTCTTACTTCTCTTGAAAAAAACAGTGGCAAGTCCAAGTGCCAGAGCTTCTGGCTCTAATCCCAGGCACCTGCAAGTCTCAATATACTGTTCAACTAGGATGTTCCTGTCCGTGCCCACTGCACCTTTTATAACATAAATTGAATTTTTTAAAAACAACATGGAGAGCACACCCCTAGTAATAGACGTGTGCAGAACTAATAATAGAGCTTTCACCAGCACAGTGTCTGAAAGACTGAAGAAACCATAAGGTGATTTGACTCTCCAGCATGCGCCAGAAATTGAAATGGCAGGTGTTTTGTCTTAAATGAAAACATCTAGCTAGCTCAGCTTAGGACAATGTTGTATAGGTTAGACTAAGGTAGCAAAATATTTGAAAGTTTGGTTTTGGTTACATCTATGTCAGAATGTATGACTTAGCATTAGGCTGAGCTTGAGAGGGACTGACAAGCAGTCTTGGCTTGTGAAAAACACAGCCCACATCTATATATACTGTATAGTGAATATTTGTCAGACTGGGTGGAATAATATCATTTATAATATATATTGTCATCAAAGAATAGTAGTAGAACCAGGTGCTAAATGGGCAAAGACTTCTTTAAATGTTACTACTTTTTAAGTGAAAGCCCTTTAATTTTATTGAAGCTAAGCTGGCCCAGAAGAAGTATGCAGAGTCAGAGTAAAGCCAGAAATCCTTATCTGCATATTTGTTCCGGGTCACTGATAGAAAGCATTGAACACAGAGGGTTTAGAATCACAGTCAAGCAACTAACAAAATGATTTATAGTTCATAGTTGTTATATACAATATAAAAATGACTGAGCATATGCCAGATGCCAGAATATAGCTACTCACACTCTTAGGTGCACTAGCCCTTCTGGTAAATTATATACTTTCCACATCCTGGCCCAGCTATGATGTGCTGCATGGCTCAAACAAGAATAACTGGTGCACTTCACCACAGTATGTTGCAGACTTCTTTTCATAGCATTTTATTTCCAGGTTATGATAGCAAACATAACCTGAACTGGTAGCCCCTTTGCTTTGCATGGAAATAACTTGACTTACATATACAGCGTGTGTGTGTGTGTGTGTGTGTTCTGTGTGGATGTTTCTGACCTTTTGTTTTGCTGTGCATAACATCTTGTATTTCAAATCATTTTCTGTTGAGCCATAAATACTCCTTTTTTACCTTTGATTTTCAATTCAAACCACACCTTATGTGTTCTCAATACCTAAGGATTTTCCAGAGAGGACAATGCCTTCACCTTATAAACATAAAAACACAGATGCAGACAGTCATTCCTCCCATAATTCCTTCCTAGATGAAATACCAGTTTGCAGCTGGTTCCTGTAATTTTGTCACCAGCAATTTTGCTACAAGAGAGGATTCCATACCTTCACCAAAAAATATAATTTAGGAAAACCACAGACATGAGATGATTGTTTAATCCAGGTTAAACAAAGGATATTCGTATAGCCTGTGATCAACCAGACTTGGAGAAAAAATAAATCAGCTGCCCCGAAAATAAGACCAACTACAATTTTATATTTTTATTGCATAAACATGCAAACTAGACCAACATCTTTTTATTTAACAATGTTCCTAGAGAATGACATTACAGTGGTTGGATCTTTTGACTCATCTCATGTCTATTGGCGGCCCTACTGCTTTTCCTGGACAGGTGTACTCCTCAATGGTGCTTCATGAGTCTTTTCAGAGCTTTGAGAGTTCTGAGGTTACATGATTGTCAGGCGGAGCACAATAGATTTGAATAAATACCTAATTATATTAACATTTAATGAATACTATCTTTTATTGGTTATAAATACTTAGCAATGTGTAATATATGAAAATGCCAGTCAAATGCAGATCTCAGCAATCAGCTAATTTATCCTTTAAAGGAGGTCCAACTTGCCACTTGACAATGATCTCCACAGTTCTCTAAATTTTCCTGCTTCTGTGGTTTTTGGTTTTTGCTGACAGCTGTGGCAGGCCCTTGCAGTAAAGTTAAGAGTACAGTTCTGCTGCATGCACCTTGGAAATAACTGTTGGTGTCTGGGGCATACTGACAATATGTCCAGACAAAGTAGAATTCTACATATGAAATGGTTTCCCCTTAAAATACTTCTGGCCCCTTGAGCTTGAAAAAGTAATGTAACCTGACTCTGAAATGATCCATGTTCTCATTTTATCACCAAATTGAAACAGTGAAAGAATTATTGATAAAGTGAAACAATTCCATTTGCTGATGCTACAAGCATGGTAATAAATTGGTTGTTCTACAAACCTCTCTTGTAACAAAAGCCTAATGATAGTATTTTCGCACACTGACATATACATATTCTATATATGATGTCACATTTTTTAATTCTACATTTTCTACTAGTCCTTTTAACCTGTTTTTCTGGCACTTCTCTACCACTGGCTTTCTCTTATAGGCTATCGACAATCAACAGTCTTAGCTTCTGTTTCTTCTTTTTCTTTCTATTGATTGTATAGCATCTAAACAATCTTGAGATGCCCTTGTTAAAGAATCCCATTTTGTCTTGTTTTTATTAGTTTATTTTTTCATTTGGTGTATTGTCTTAAATTTTTTGTTGTCCTTGTGTTGTATGCGTGAATGTGGTCTAGTGCGCATTCTAAGCAAGTTATTTCCTGCCCATTTTCCTTCCCAGTTTCCTTTAGCATGACAATCAAGACTGTTTGGATCCACCAACTACACCTGCCCATTCCAATCACTCCCCCCACCTCAGACGAAGTGATTATTTCCTTCATGATTACATTATTCAGTTTCTGTTTATTTATTGCCATTTTATGTTAATATTTCTCGTTCATCTCCAAGATGATGAAGAGACAGAATCCACAGAAACCTCCATCTTGAAAAGCCATCTTGTCAATGATGAGCCAGTATTAGCAAGCCCGGATTTGCTGTCTGAAGTGTGTGAGATGAAGCAAGATCTTATTAAAATGAGTGCTATACTAACCATTGATGCCACTCAGAAACCTGGTACCCTCAAAGCCAAGGACTTTGAAAAGTCAGAAGAGGATCCTGGAGAACCATTTGAAATAGTGGAGAAAGTAAAAGAAGATTTAGAAAAAGTTAACAAAATTCTTAGAACTGGAACTTATTCCAGAGAACAATCATTACATGATGGTGCCCACTCCTCAAAATCTTATATTAAAGATGAGGAATGGGTTATTTTAAGGGATGATGAAATTGAAGAGGCCAAACTAAATGCACTACTTGAAGATGCAGAGATACCATGCATAGAAGTAAAAATAGATAGAGGTGATAAACCAAAAGTAAAATCTGATATGAATGAAATAGTAAACTACCTTACTAATGACTTAAGCTCTTATTCAGCTGATTCAGTGGCTACTCCTGGAACTGAAACAGTGAAAAGGGAACACCGTAAAATGCCGTTAGAAATCAAAAAACCAGTACGCAGGAAACTCAAGGAGAGACAAAGAGAAGAAGAACTCCAAGGTACAAGTGACCGTCCAAGCCTGACAAAGTTTAGTTCTGAGGAGTCATTAGATGATGAAACAGGTCTTACTCCAACAGCTGTTCCATGTGTAAAAGAAGTATCTCCTGTGATTGAGGAGACACCAATTGGATCAATTAAAGATAAAGTAAAAGCACTTCAAAAGCGAGTTGAGGAAGAGCAAAAGGGAATAGCAAGCACATCAAGTAAACCACAGTTGAAAGATGTCATAAGTGAGCAAACAAAGCAGCAAAACACAGTCCACGTAGTTCAGCCACCTGTTTCTCCATCATCTAAAACTGAGCGTCTAGAAGAAACCATGTCAGTGCGTGAATTATTGAAAGCCTTCCAGTCTGGCCATGACCCATCTAGAGAGAAATCTGGGCTGTTTGAACACAAAGCTGTAAAATCAGCAGTACAAAAACAAACCGCCATAGAAAATAAATTAGCAGAAAAATGTGTGACATATAGCTCAGACTCTGCTAGGCGTAAGTCAGATAATTTAGAAAAAGAACCAACTTTACACTTTGGGGAAAGTGAGCAGGTATCCCACCTAGACTCTGTTAAATTAAAATCTGTTTCTGACCACATCAAAATTTATGAGCAGAACAAAATAACTATTCCTATTACTACTGCTGAAGCAGAAATGCAGAAACATACAGGGGAGGAAACTGCTGGTACACTAGTTGACAGTAAAGCTGTTAAAGAAAAATCAAGTATAAGATTAAGAGTGAGCATTAGTGACCAGGATGTAGATCCACAAATCAGTCCTGACAGAAAAACATCT